TTTTTTTTTTTTTTTTTGTTAAAGTACTTGACATTATTTTAAGGAAGAGCAATGGAACACACAAATATGAGACACAGCTGTCTTAATGTTGTGCTTGGTTACAGTAATAGAGTATGAACTTTTCAAATAGACAAAGCTTGTATATGTTAGTGACAGAAGATTAGACTTCCTGTAAGGGGAGGCAAAAGATATAAACCTTTTCATATCAAGTGCAGTCATTTTGTGTGCACATGACTCAAGCTACTGGTATCTTTTGTATATAGATAAATTCTTCTTTTAAAGTCTTGCAGATGTGTGCTCTGGTTGAATAAACACCTTTGATAGAAACCTCACAGGCCTGTAATTTCATTAAACATCTCTCACTCTTGAAACATTCTATGGCTAATATGTTATTGCTGTCAGGCAAACCAAGCAGCCGCTAAGTGCTGCGCAGCGGCTGAGGTCTCGAGCRCTGCGGCACGTCTCCCCGCGGATGAAGCCCCTGTGTGGGGTTCTCACCCACGCTGGGAAGGTGTCGGGGCACCGGCTGGTTGCAGCTGCAGCCACATCGGAGAGGCGCGTGAGGCACTTGGGCACTGTCACACTTGGACAGCGTCCCAGCACCTTCCAGCCCCGGGGCAGGATGCATCTGCCATCATTGCAATTAATAGGAGAAAAAAGATGTGCTAAAAGGCCAAATTTCATTGCTTTGTGGTCAAAATATTAACCTGTTCTCACTGACAATAATAATGTCTACTCTATGTCTATATTCCTCCCTTGTTTCCTTTTAATTTTTGGTGCTATTATGGTTACAGTAGGTCAGAAAGTTTTAAGGGAAAGTAGAGCTGCCAGGTCYCTTTTGCTACTGTTCCCCTAAGGGACTTAGAAATTTACAGTGTGAGTAGCCTTACCAAGCAAGGAGCCTTACCAAGCAATTAAGTATAGCAAAATGAAGATCCATTAGGACTACAGTGACCATATTTGACTCTTTTAAATGAAATCTTTTTAAATTTATAATTGATCTTGGAGGGGAATGTCTCTGAAATCTTCTGAGTATACTGTTCTGGTATCATACTTTGTCACCCTCATTGCTACAGTATCTGAAGACCTCTTACATCTTGGAGGGAGTAACCTCTCACTGCTACACTGCTGCTTATTCTCATTTTATATATGTGGAGATATGACTGAGAAGATAGGCTAGTGATAAGGAGGCATGCAGAAATTTTATGGTAGTGTAATATTCCTCTCTGGTGTTCACTGGCATCAGTGAAGACAGCACAGACATCATAGGCCATAGGTTGTATGCAGGAGAGGCAGCCCTGCAGCTAGCAGAAGCAGAGACTCTAAAGAACATCCAAAATGCTGCAATGGTCTGGAGAARCATTAAGCACTGATGACCAGGAGCCCATTTTTGTGTTTTTCCGCATATACTGCAGATAAGAGGGTTACAGGAGAGAGGGCTGCAATGCTGCATCCACTCCCGGAGAATCACACAGACGGCTACTTCCAGTAGGGCATTCCTTATTTTCTGTTTAGAATATGCATGGTTATATGCTGATAATCTTGCAGATTGAACCTTGCTTTGCAGACAGACGTGCTGTGCTCACCTGCACTTTTAGAGGAGAGCAGTTTTAATGGAGGACTCTTCCCTACATGGGTCCTTTCCCTAGGTCAGCCACGCGCATGGACACTGGTCATGTCTGGCTGTGGGCTGAACTCCACGGCAGTACTTCCAGACACACCAGACTGTGTAGTTTCTATGGAGACCACACTACCTTATGGTGTTTTTCTTGTGGATTAAGGGTGATATTGACTTCCCCTATTATTAATATTTGTGTACTTTTGTGTCATTTCTACAAGGGTTATGGAAAGAACATTTCATTCAGACTCCCTAAATGAAAGACTTGATTATCCCCAGCACTTGGAACCAAGTAATCCAAGTTAGTAATCTGGAGCATTAAATCAAACTCCATTTTGCAAAAGAAGCTTAACAGTTCTCCATGTTTCCTTCCTTCCGTCTTGTGACTTAGTTTATAGCCCCTGCAACTAATTTGAAATTTTGCAGCTGCTGAGATTCGTCAGCTTTAGTTCAACAGCAAGTATCATCAGTCATGGCCTTTATTTTATGTGATTTTCCTTCCATTTACTATTTCTTTTCTTTTCTTTTCTTTTTTTTTTTTTTTTTTAATTGATTACTTGGCAGTTTGGGGAGTTACTAGAATTTGTCCTAAACTGGTGCTCTATGGCCAGGGCTTTTCAGCCTGAGCAAAAGTCAAGAATAGCTGTGCCACAAACACCTGGAGAGGGTGTGCAGAGTTTGGGCTCGGTGCCACGTTTCTTCCCAAGAGGGACTTTTGCTGAGTAAAGGAGGGAAAAGAGGAGAAATCAGCAGCATCTCAGTGCAAGAGAGAGCTGAGSCATATGCAGCCATCAGGAAACAGCRCCGAGGGTGCAGAAGAGGACAGTGGAGTTCTCTGTGTGTAAACGTTTTTGCATGCTCTTCAGCAAGGGCATGGGGCCGCCTCTGCGTGCATTTTCACACATGCATACATCCAGATTCACTGATGCAAACTGCATTTGCAGCTATATAGGTCAGCCCGGACTGTTCAGTGAAGTGGGAAGGAGAGCTATTTAGCTTCAGCACTCTAATACCATGCAAACACAGCCGTGCCATTTCCATTTCTGAAGCAAATTCAGTCAGCACCAACTCTGCCATCTCTTACCAGCAATACTTCATACCATGAARATATTTGCTAAATTTCTGATGTACATGCAGATATTTCTAGGTGCCAACAAGCTTGCAATGCTTGAGGCATTGCAAGCAAAGATTGATACTGTATAATGGTAGTTTCAAACTGGAGGCCACATTTGGAAAAACATTCCTAAGATGAGTTGTAATCATCATTTTAAATATTTCTTAGTTTGGATGATTGTACCTGTAAAGTTGCAGTGGCTGATGCTGTGGCTCCACTATGTTGAGGTTGAAATTTAATGTTTAAAACAAGTGATTTAAAAACTACTTGAAACCTGGCAGTGAGCCCACATATATTTAGACAGATTAATTTATACTACAATATCTACCTAAACATTTAACTACCTTCCTACCTACTTAATCATTGGGCTTTCTACACTGTTCCTGGAATATTTCAGGAGAGCTACCAGCATGATCTTTTTCCATCTGTTGCACATGCATCATCTATAGTATAGCAACTACACCTCACAGCAACGGTATTTTCTGGAACTTTATAGTACTGTTAAGTTGGCAAGCTTTAGGTGCAAAATTAACAAGCATCATCAACAAAACAGGATGTGTTTACCCAGCTGCTGGGAATCTTCTCCTGAGCTGTGAGCTGGGAAAGCCGTTTCATGACAAGGTACAGCTGGGAACTGCATTTTGGCTTGTATCAAAACATTTTTTTTTTTTTTTCTGCAAAAGAAGAATAATAGAAAGCAGATTAAGATGAAGTAGTAACAACATGCTGATCCTTTTATGCAGTGTTTCAAAGCTGAAGTGTTTCCTAAAAAGTCTTTGCCCTAATGACGTGAGAGACCTGCTTGCACTGCACTAAATTGCTACATGAATTGCGCCATGTTCTTCTTAGGCAAGACTATTGCCATTCTTTCCTATCAGGTTCTTTGCTCCTCCTTTTCAAACATATAGTTGTTTGCCTGATATTTAAAATAAAATACTTGAAATGTAATTCCAAATCATCTGGGCAAATACTGTGAAGCAAAGGTACTGCTGATAAAAAGAAACTCGCTGCCCCGATGGATGCAGCCCTGATGTGTGCAGATGGTTTACTGTGCAAGAGTGTTTACTACAGATCTAATAGGATTTTTCTCTAACACTATCTGCTTACTTCTGCTGTCTCATTTTCTYTCCAAGATGTTCTTGGAAGTCTGTAGGGATCTACTAAAGACAATCTTTTGCCTTCCAACTCTTCTCTAATTTGTGTGGCCAGCCCCTGGAAGGAGGCCTTTATAAACGTCATTTTTGTTTGTTTGTTTTTCTCTCTTTTTAATAAAAATCAGTCAGCAACCAGCTCATAAAAATGGGAAAATATTTAGCAAAAGTATGTCCATTATACATGTTTAAATGTACCATTTAAACCATTTTATTATCATTTTTATCTTGGGTTAAACACTAAAGCTTAAATGCATTAATTTCAAAAAAGCTGGAGTAATCCTGGAACGCCTGGAAAGGGCGCTCAGTGCTCAAGGCCCTGAGCCACCCTACCTGCTCTTGAGAGTGAGGGTAGARCTGGGCAGAAACAAAGCTACAGAAGAGGGAAATAGCCCAGGATGAGGTAGGATTGTAGGTGAGCTCCTGTTCTTCAAACACAGGAGACAAAATGGAATTGGCCCCGCTATTATCTTTACCTCCATATGATGCCCTTCCCTCCCCTTATAATAGTACTGGTGACACTGTAGAATTTCGTGTGTTCGAAGTGTGACACAGCTATTAGTTTATGACTTTTACAAACAGCTAAGTGAATTAATAGTAAGGAAATACTACCTCTCTTTTAAAATGAGGAAAATTAGCATTACAGTAGGATCCTGGAAAAAGCAATGAAATACATACTGGATGTGGGATGTTGAGGTGGTTTTCTGTTTTTTTTTTTTTT